CGGTGTAGATGCCAGCTGACTTCCATTGGAAACTCCACCCTCTGTGGATTGGCCAACTTGACCTGAACTTCCTCCAGCTGCCATGTTGTTTATCACAGGCAATGCTAGGGTTACTCCACCAATGTTTATAGGTAAAGTTGTCACCACTTGTGCCTGAGTACCAGGGATGGTTTGCAATTGCAGTGGTATGGAAACACCAGGCCTGATTTGGACTGGGACCGTCTGATTTGCTAGGTTCTGAGCAATAATATTCCCCGAAGCTGTCCTATTTGAAGCCGTGAGGATAGCTTGATTATTTCCTGCAGGAATAAGCTGAATTTGACCCTGTATATCTTGTAGACCAGTAGCATTTGCAGGATTTATTTGAATTTGTTGACCTTCTGTTGTCTGAATCTGTGGTATCACTTGATACTGGACACTACCACTTGGATTTTGTACTTGAATGACTTGAAATTGTCCAGGGGTTGTTGCAGAAGAATTGCCCGATTTAGTTTTTGTAGGAGATGCACTCCCATTGTTACTGCTGGAGGGACTTGGTGCGCTTGAGGCAACGGAAGATCCCTGTTGAGCAACATTATTGTCCTTTGAAGCAGAAGGAGATGCAGCAACAAGCTGCCAAGAGTTTCCAGCGAGCTGAGTTGTTACTAATTCTAACTGTTGTGGCTGATTTTGAAGCTGCACCAACCCTTGATTTGGATCTATAATAATCTGCTGCTGTCCAGTTGCTTGATTCTCACCAGGAGTTCCTATTTTGCTGCAAGTGGCTGCTAGCAAAGCAAGAGGTGAAGGCTGAGAATCCTACCCAGAAAGAGAGAAAACAGAACAGATTCAGGAGAAAAGCATGGGCATTAACCATCAAAAGTAAGCATCCAGATTTACACAGAAAGCAGACAAAAACATGCTTCTGCATAGAGACCAATGATACAGCTCTGAATAAGGAAGTATATGTCTCTGTAAATAATCTTTAAATACAAGCCAATGATTATCAATGAGTACGTGACAACATATGTGCCTGCTCATCCAGTGTTTTTTTCCAAAAATAAGGGCAAATTTTATAAGGACCTCTATTATGTGGAAAGCAGCTCATTGCTGTATACCGCAATCAAGAAGTACATCAAGACAGTAAAAATACTGCACTCCAACAACTAGGCTTCACCCAATCCGAAGAAAGATGCCCTCAGCAGGGAATGCTGCTAGCTGAACACTTAATTTTAAACGCTAATAGTTTGTGCACTTCCCAATTTGGGAGCGCGTGCTTTACCTGTGAGCCTCCAGTTTTCCCTTTTTTATTATTATTGTTGTTATTCTCTGCCTCGGGAGATTTCTCTCCCTCTGTGGGCATAGTTTCCTCCTTCTTTTGATCTGCAAAAATATCAAGTGTAACAGGTTAATTATTCACCTTCATTTATACAATAACAAAACCTACAAGCGTATCCTTTTTGGTTCCCAGCTTCTCGCCCGTATCTCTCCGTAAAAACAACGGCGCAAACCATTATTACAAAAGAACCGAGTCCTGAGAAACGTGGTTTGAAACCCAACCCATGGGGGCTGGAGAGTTAACACCCAGAAAGGGGAGGTTTGGTTTCCTCTCCCGGAGACAGCAGGAGAAAACCACCCACAACCCTCCTCCTCCTCCTGCCCCCCGAAGCATCGGCCACTGAGTGGCCGTCGATGCTTCAGGGGGCAGGAGGAGGGTTGTGCATGGGAGGGAAGGAGGGAGGCAAAGAGAAATGAAGGAGGGAGGGATGTGCACAGGAGGGAGGGCTGCGAAGAAAGGGGGAACGGAGGAGGGCGGCACGGCGGGAGGAGGAGAAGAAAGGGGGCGCGGGAGGAAGGGCGGGGTGAGCGGGGAGACCCGGGGAAGAAACGGGGGGACGCGGGAGGGCGGGATGGAGGGGACGGAGGGTGGAGGGAGGAGCGGAGGGAGGGCGGGAGGGGTGTGCTCGGGAGGGAGGAGGGAGGGGGTTACATACCGCTCATCCCGCATTAATGCCCCGCTGAGGCGCCGCTCTAGGGGGGAGGAGAAGGAGGAGGAGGAGGCGGAGGGTGGGGTGGGGGTAGCGGGGAGAAGGCCGGTCGCAGCCGGAGCGGGGAGGAGCGGGACGGCCTATTTTTCCACGAATGGCCGCCGCTGGGCTGTGGCGTAGCTCCTCTCTCTCCGCCCGCCGCCGCCGCCGGCCTCAGCCCCGCCGCTTTGAGTGACAGTCGCGGGCCGGCCGCCGCCGCCGGGGGGAGGGCGCGCGGCGGCGGGGCGGGGCCCGCCGGGGCCCAACCGCCGCCCACTGAGGAGGAAACCGAGCCCCGCCGCCAGCCCCCGGCCGCCCCTCGCGCTCTCTCCGCCTCAGCGCGGCTCCCCACGCCGGAGGCTGAGGAGGCGGGGCGGGGGCGGGACGCGAGCCGGGCCCGGCAAGGCAGCACAAGGGCGGCCTCGGCCTTCTTCTCCTCCTCCCGCTCGTCTCCGGGCCGCACGGCGGGGGGCGGGGCTGCGCGGCGCGCGCGCTCGTGCGGCGCTTTGACAGCGCGGATGGGTGGGGGGGCGGAGGGAGGCGGGAGGAGGGTGGGGCCTGCGGCACCGAGGGGCGGGGGGAGGCCGACACCTCGCTGCCGGCCTGCCCGCCGCGGCTCGGGCGCCGAGGGAAGGGGGAGCGCGCGAGTGCGCGCCAGTGGCCAATCCAGCGAGGCGGTGGGCGGGGCCGCGCGCCGCACTGACCAACCAGGTTGTGCGCGCCCGCCTCGCTCTCCCCTAACTGACAGCGCGCGGGAAGCTCCGGCGCGGCTCTCGCTGTGGCGGGGCTCCCGCCCTCCTCGCTGGCCCCTCTCCTCCGAGAGACTTCCGTGGTTTCCGTAGGGAAGCCGAGGTCCGCTCTCCCTTCCCAAGTTTGCACCGGCTGGTGGAGCTGATGCTCTCTAGGCGCACTGCTCGGGGGAATGGCGTGCAGGGACCTCTTCCCCACCTGCCGGGCATATTTCCCACAGCCGGTGGCGAGGGGGCGGGAACAAGCCACCTCCTCATTGGCTCAGTTGCGATGGGGGACGCGCGTGGCACGCCGGGATATGTAGTCCTGGGTGAGGGGCTGAGGGGCTGCCGCGTGGTGGGGACGCATGCGCAGAGCGGCAGGTGTCCCTGGGCGTCCGGCTGCCTTGCGGGCCTAGGCCGGGCGGTGTGCGAGGGGAAGGCGGTGTCTGCGGCGGGCTGGGCAGGTCAGCGTCACAATAAAAACGTTAATTATGGTTGTGTCTTTGGTTTTCTCGGTAGGGTTTCCTCCAGGTCTCCGTGGCATTCCCCACTTTCCCATGACTGTTTCTGGAAGATACCTGGTTAAGTTGAAACTGGCCATGATGTGATGTGGTGGAAGAGATGATGAGTGCCCAAGACCTGACAGCCAGGCTAGGCTTGCTGAGCCCATTTCAGTTTGGAATGAATTTGGTAGCAATGCCAATCTTTAATGACAGCTTCCTATTTCAGCCCTCCAGTGCATCCTCTGCAATAAAGATGTCAAAATATTGAGCTTTTCCATCACAGACCAAGGAAATAATCAGAAATAAAAGTGCCCAAGCTATTACTGGGTGGTGCATGCTGTGGACATGCAGGTCACACACTGATGCATCAGGAAGTAACCTTACAAGCACGGTGATTTGCACCCATATGACCTAATAGCAATACCTCACAGTGTGCCATATTCACCTCCTAAAATGAGAGTCTGTATGAGAAATGGGCGGATAAGTTAGCCGGGCTACTCATCTTTGTCTCAATGAGAGACAGATGTCTCAGAATCTGTACTCGTTTCGGAAATGTGGCCCTAAGGTGTAAAAGCACTGTCTCAGCTCAGTATGAGATTGAAGTGGTGGATAAAAGATGGTGGTGGTAGTGCAGGTGGCTTCAGTAGGGCATTGTGACTTTAATATCTTAATTATCCACTGTAACACTCCTATACCACCTACTCTTTCCCAATTTCAAATGTCACTCTTGCTCAAATTCTTCCTGCCAGTGTAAGCATTCTGAGCACGCCTCTTTTTTCATTGTTCCCATATGAACCAGTGCTCACCCTTTGCACCCCTCATACCTGTTGCTCCCTGCAGATTCTCACATAAGTCAGCAGAAGTTACCTGTTGAAAGAGATTACAACTCATGTGTGTTCACTGACACAGGATTCCCATCTGCTGTTGGGACAGATGAAGGAAGAGTGTCAGAAATGAAAAATTAAGCAAAAAGTTTTCATCATAACTTCCTTTCAGGCTCAAACTGTGTTGATATCTGCAAACAGAGCACAACCTGCATTAGCAGAGGCCCAACAAAGGGTAAGGCTCCTGGAAAGGTGTAGCTCAGGCATCACATCAGAAGGGGGTGCATAGTTTGAACTAGGGCCCAAACTAATAAAATTGACTTTCAGCTTGGCACCTCTCCCAGTGTTCTGTTTATCCAGTGGGGATTTAGCTCCTTGTTTTAATTTTTTAGTTCTCCCATCTCTGTATCTACATGTACAATTTTCTCTCTTATCAGTCCTAAATTTTCTGCCTTTCTCTCTTTTGATGAGTTTCCATAGTACTCCAATTTTGTTTTCTTCATTTTTCCCAGATTTCTCCTCTTTGTACTTACTTCCCTGAATCTTGTATTTCCCATTATTTTCTGCTCCATCCTTCCTTTTGCATTTCTTTCTTCTTTTTCTTCTTTTTAGTCTCAAATTATATCCTATTTTTTGTCACTCTTGTTTTGTTCTCTAAAATATACCTTAGTGCCTGCATTGATTTTGTGCCTACCAAACAGTTTTAGATTTCTAAACTTTTAGGAGTTTCTCTGCTGAGCACAGCAAGGCTTGTCACACTGAACAGAGTAACACCTAAATATATTTACAAAGAAAAAAAAAAAAAAAAAAAAGATGGGGGCGTGAAGGGGGAGGGTGAGACAGCTGGCTGCATGCTCCAGTTTCATTGGTTATCCTCTCCACTATCTGCCAGTACTTACATAGGTTGCATTTGGACAGAAAGGCTGGGAGGCCAGCAGCTGTAAGCAGCAGAGACAAGAATGAGACGGTGGCTTGAGAAAAACTTCAGAAAACTGTAAATCTGGTTGTAGGGCAGCTGGTTGGATTGATAATGCTGCAGCCCTTAAACACAAAATGCTAGATTGGTATAAAACCATTCTGATGTAAGGTAGGTGTTGGTGGTAAGCATACATAAATAAATGAGGGAATAATTTTAATCTGGCAGGATTATGCAAGATCAGGTATCAGATATCTGCATTTCTGAAGCAACTTCTTTGGCCAGCCCAAAGTTTCTTTTGCCAGTCTTTTTGTTCTCTCCTAATGCTCTTGGTGCTGTTTTGTCATAGAAGCTGAATGTTTCCAGGAAGTTGCTTTCCTTGTGTATATGCAGGTTCGGGTGCATATTTTTCCTCTTATTTGGGCCCTTCCTGGAATCTAGTGTTTTGTTGTGAGCTATCTTGGCTCCAAAAACAGTAGCTTCGAAGAATTCAGTGACAGCATAGCATTACCAATCAGACAGAGCCTGGATCAGAGCCACAGGGGAAATCATGTGTTTGGCAAGCTCACTCCCTAGGCTTTGCTCCACGTGATCCCAAGTGGACCAACTCAGAGGTATTTGACTTGCTGAGAGTCTGTGGAAAACATTATCAAAACCACCATGGGAATTCAAGGAATGAATTTGTCTGTTGTGTCATTTCTTTGCAGATGCATCAGCCTATGGGACTCCAAACAGCACAGAACTGGGTCAAGAATGCTCCCGCCAGGAAAGACAATGGTAAAAATGAATATTTCAGTTCTGACTGTCATGACCGTAACTTACACAAGCCTGAAACACAAAGTTCTTCTTTCCTCCCACCACATCTGTACCCACTGCACCTGATTTTTGCCTGATGTTTTCCCAAGCATTTTTTCATATCATAATGATGCCGCAGTAATTGTTAGAAAATAATTCTATCTGAGACACTGAATCAATCCTTTATTTTTTTCTAAACAGAATTAATGCAATAACTTCAGTCTAGACAAGGCTCCCTCATTCCCCACTCCTTTGCCATATCAACCCTTACCATTAATGAACTTCACATCAGTCAATGTGGAAGTGAACTTTAACTTAGGATATAGAAACGAAATCCATCTGACATTACTCAGGACATCAGGTCAAGCTGCTGCCCAGCTACTCTGCCGCAAATCTAAGGATAAAACGTGCTTATCAATTCCAGGGCAGCCTTTAATTTACTTATCCTGGTTTAATCAAAGATTCCATTTTCAACATCCAGACTCACATTATCCAGCATGGAATTAACATGCATACCTTAAGAAGATGACTGTTCTCTACTGTGTACTTTCCTATGTGCAATCTTTTGTGTGCTTGGAAACTGAAAGAAAGTCTTACCCAAAGTCTTTTTGAGCCTGAGGAGCTGTACATCCCACATCTTACCAAATCACCTGACAGTGGTTTTGTCTTCCACATTCTACAACAGCTTGCAACACAGTTAATTTTTCTTTTTGATACAGAGCTTGGAGGGCTGAATGTACAGAGTGACTTTTTTTTTCCAGTTAGTGATGCTGCTGTTGAAAAAGTATCTGAAAAAAGTCTACTACCACTTAACAAAATGATTACTTTTGTTTCCAAAAATGTTCTTCTTACTGATGTGTTTCCAATCCTGACACGCTGTGAGAGCACTAGCTTTGCGGAAGTATGCTTTGGGTCAACACATGACTAAGTTGTCCTCCCCTGTACGTTGATCAAGATGTATTAGCATTATCTTACAAAAAAAAAAAAAAAAAAAAAAAAAAAGGCTGAATTTATCACAAATCAGCCATTAATATTGTACTTTTAACTGCTAAAAATCTCATTCCAGTGCTCAACTGCTTCATCTGTGCTGGCAGAACTCTTTTCACAGAGCCAGATGTGACACTCTAAGGAATCCTGTCTTTGTCAGTGACATTATGTGACTACACTGAAAGCTGAACCTGATGTAACTTCAGCTTTGCTGTTTCACTTTATGCAGCCAGTTGTTTGCAGGAAATGACACCTCTGGGTCAGGAAGTCTGCATGCATCTGCACTGAAAGCACAACTGTCGTGCCCAGACACATGCTTCTTGCTCAGTTTGTCTTGCAAAGACTTTGCAAGAATGCAGAGGCTGTGGTGATGGATGTGGTGATAGTTCTGTAGTACTTTATATGAGCTTTTGAAAGCTGCTGAGTGCTTCAGTAACAGTGGGATGCTCCTTATCCAATGTTACCTGCAGTGAAACAGGGCAAGCAGCTTACAGAGTAACAGAAGATCAGAAACTGGGATTCAGTTTAACCTGGGATGACTAATTATACCCCTGTAATACACAGTAAGAGTAAAGAGAATATCCTACGCTCTGTGTAATTTGCAGTTCATGCTCACATGCAAACCAAATGTTATACATGCTACCAGTGGCTGAGTTCTGCACAAATCTGGTAATAATAAATGCAAAACATGCTGCATGAGGAATGTGCCCGTAACTATACTGCTTCTTGTCCGGCAAAATCAATTAATATACCTGTAAATTTAAGTCCACAAATACAATAGGTGTGGGAGACAAATGTGAGGTGGAACTTCTGCCCTTGATCTCTAGAAAAGAAAGTGAGCAAATCAAGCAAATTTCAAATTCTCAAATATGTTTTCTAATCTTCACTCTTCACTATGATACAGTTTTGCTTTAATGAAATTTCTCAGGTGATAAAATTGAGAATGAGCCTGAGACTCCATTTCTGTCTGGGTGCAAGTGTCAGTGAATTTGGTGGAGGAAGGCTAACCACTGTAAAAGAAGAAATGAACGAAGACGCAAATGGAAGTAAGCTAGTGGTAACAGATTATTTCAGCTACCCAAGATTGGTGGCTCATATGTCACAGTAAAAGTAGCAAATTCGTGTTACCACAAATGTCTGCTTTAGGCAGTATTTAGCTTTGCTGGTGTGCTAGAGATTTAGTTCTAAGTAACAAATGAGATTTGATTTAAGAAGTAATTACAGCTGAATCTCACTGTCACAGTAGCTGCAAGATAGTGAAGATTAGTATATTGATCCTAACTGCCCTGTGTCCAAAGACATAAAAACACAAAACTAGAAGTATTTAAGAAAATAAGATCCTTAAAATGGGTATGGTATCTATTAAAGTATGCCACAGTAGGATGACAAAAACTTCAAACATGTTTCATTAGATAATTTACTCAATTAATACATAAGTCTACCTGGAGGTAAAAGCAGTGCCAGTGATGTTAGCAGGAAGTGTCGTGGACTGAATTCTGGATCTGATGTGTATAGGGAGGCTGAGTGGGGAAACCTTAGTTGCAAGTGGCCAGAAATAAATCCAAATAAAGATAATTATGTGGAATAAAAGACGTGCAGGCATCAGGAGACATGTTAAGCTACATTGAGAGACTGGCTCAAAGTCAGCAGATCTAACCCCTCTGCAGATGTTAGTACTTACAGGGAGCAGGCCACTGGTGCATGCGTGAAGCAAGCATAAGGGGAAATGGTTTTAAAAACTGGAAGAGGGTCGGTTTAGACTAGATATCAGGAAGAAATTCTTTACTGTGAGAATAGTGAGACACTGGAAAAGATTGTCCAGAGAGGTTGTGGATGTCCCCTCCCTAGAAGCGTTCAAGGCCGAGTGGATGGGGCTTTGAGCAACCTGGTCTAGAGGGAGGTGTCTCTGCCTATAGCAGGGGATTGGAACTAGATGATCTTAAAGGTCCCCTCCAACCCAAACCATTCTATGATTCTATGATTATTTTTGTAGATAAAAAAGTGAAGTCATTGTTAGAAATTGTTATGAAAACATATGATAACAAAATAAAAGAGGTCATTTAAGTTACAAGATTTCTGTTTCTTTGACACTATTAAAAACAGTAGCTGGAATGAAAAAACCGCAGAGTTCGTACTGCCTTTCTCCACTTCCAAGGAATGAAGAACCTCTAATTCTTGTTTTTCTAACTTGTTCTTAAAACCTAAATGTTGGAGACTCACACTACATCTTTACAATCTATTTCTGTCTATAGAAGTTTTCCCTATTTTAGCCTGAGTTTTTCCTTCAACAATTGACACCTGTCAATTTTTTGTTTTTGTTTTGTTCTCAACGTCACAAAAAACAGTCAGCAGCATCCCTGCTGGGTTTATGGGAACTTTCTACATGTTGGAAGGTTATCATACACTGCCACAGCTGCCATCAGGCTTTAGTTTTTAGAACAAGCATATCCTTCTTTTTTTTTTTTTTTTTTTTTAATTATTCTCTATCTCCTAAATATCTTTAAATATTTTCTTCTTCTTCTTCTTTTTTTTTTTTTTTTAAACCTCTTTTTGTATTAGCCTATTAAATTACACCAAACTAAGGCTTCAGAGAGGTGAGTTAAGAAAAACAATTAGTAACCGTATCTTGTATATAACACATGTATTAAAATGCCCCAGGATGAATTTTTCTGTCTTTGCATCAGCTTCATAATGTTCACTCATTTTCAATATGTGGTTTACTGTAACACCCAGGTCTCTTTCTACAGTGCTGTTGCTATTATCAACTTTGTATTTATGCATTTGATTTTCTCTTGCCTCAATAGATTATTTGTACTCGTCTTCATTGCATCTCATCTTATTGATTACTGAGCATTTCTCTCATTTATCAAAATTATTTTGAATTCTAATCCTTCCTCCTACACAGTCCCATCTACTTTAGTATCACGTGGAAATGCACACACACAAAAATATATATATATAGTTGGAAACTTTCAAATGCAATTGATTTTTAAAAATGAAATTTAAACCTTGCGGAAAGCAACCCCACACCACTGTTCTTGTAAGCATAGCTATCCCCAACTGATTTTAGGTGTTGTGGAGGGTCCCACTATTGTTTGAATCTGTTCTTTGTTTTCTTTTAAAGAAAAATTGTCAACAAATCAGTGAAGACACATTGCATAAGTGATATTTTGTTTTGGTATTTTTTATCTTTTTGAGTTGAACATAAAAAGTGCTTTCTGTTTTATAGTGCTTCATGCACATTGCTGAGATTAACCTCCAAAATGTTACAAGTTTCATTCTAAATCATAACAAAAGTCCTCTCTTTTCATCAAGTTGTAGTTATTACATGAAACAGAAAAGTAAACTGCTTTGAGATTCTCCTTGGAATTACACGATGCTATAAGATGCTGTTGCTATAAGAGAGTTCGACTCTTCTGCTTGGCAGAGCTTGGCTACGAGCAGCTCTCTGTCTGACTTACAAAAGCACCTTAACTTATAGTTGTATGTTTAGATTTTTATTTTAGAGTTCAGATACAGTTGCCTGACATTAAATTCAGCTTCCAAGGCTGCAAATTTATGGCACTTTGGTAGCTATATATTTTGCAACAAGCAGTTTCCAGAAGTGGACAGCACTCATTTGATGTCATTCAACCCATTCATGTCAGTCTTCAGAGAGAGAACTGTTGAAGAATTTAATGTCTGAGTTGTGTCTCGTGTAAGGGTAGATAAGAACTCTGAACTAGCTAGACACATCAGGAGCCTTCTGCTTCTCCATGAGCAGAACAGGAAATCTAATTTGTCTCATGTGGTTTCCTGCTGAAACACGCATTTGTAGTGAAGAATGTATGAGCACTGCAAAATTCACTTACCAGATAGTGAAAGATACCCTTTATATTCTGACATTTTTTTTCTGAGGTGGAACATTAAACTTGCTAGAAAATGACTAAGAGAATATAACATGGAAATTATTTCTCTCTTTACCTACTTGGAGCAGAATAATTTATAGATGATTTAGAGAAAGAGATATAAGCCCTCTATTTTAATGTATATATTTTAGATATTAAAAAATGGAAGAGGTTCTCACTGATGTGAGGTCTGCCCAAGGCTTCAATAAGGGGCACCTCACAGCTCTGGGGTAAGCACTGCTCTGCTGCATAGCTGAGATAACTGACAAGCTTTCATGGAGATCCAAGCTCTTTTGGGTACCACCAAATCTCTCTCTGTGGGAATGCACGTTTTTAATCAGTAGGCAGAGGTAAGGCCAGCAAACAGCTGGGCAGCAGCTGCTGCAATCACACAAGGGTGCAGATGGAAGATCTGGCACCGAGTAGCTAAACAACTTAGTCAGCTTGACAGCAAATAATACCACAGTTAGAATTCCTATCCCTACTAATCCTGCTTCAAACAGCTTGGGAAGGGAAATGTTACAGAAAGCCAAAAGGAATTCTTAGGATTTCTTAGTTTCAGTTCTTATTTAAAAATTATTCTTGTTTTGCTGAAGTTTATAATTGTTATATAGAGTAACAAAGGTTCCAGAAGCTTGTAACATTATGCTTTCTCTCAGGTTGTTTGTACTTGAGAGCACTCAGTCAGAAAAACTCTCATCTTGCTCATCACAGTGTTGCATGCTGGTCTTATCTGTCATTGCACTGCAGGTCATTAGCAGCTGCAGCGCTACTTAACGACACTCTAATTAGCATCTTGAGAGTTAGTCACTTCACTTTGTGCTGATTCACCTACAGCCACATAACTACCTGTGATGGGCTGGCATGCAGCTGTGTAGTTTCACAGCCATCTCCAGGTACTTCAGGATGGGTAGGTCTCCTTTCTCCAGCGCTTGTGGCCACTGACTCCTTCATGGCAATGCTGGCACTTGTATGGCTGCTCAGTGACTCAGAAAACCTCAAATAACTCACCTGGGAAAAAACAGTCAGAAAAAAAAAGGTGTTATTCTCAGCTTTTTCAGCTTTTACATCTGACTGTGCTGTCTCTTCACGTGGGGCAGAGTTGGCCTAAGTTATGCGTAATGGGGAATTAGCCCAGAATTTGAGATGTGGAATACCAGAAGTGTCAGGACATAAGAAGGCTTCACATGGATTTTAAAGGATATATATAATTTCATACCATGTGTGGATTAGCCTGAAAACAAGCAATAGAAAAAAACTACTGCTATTTCTGAAAATGTTTTGGAAAGTTTTTCACCTGTCTACCATCACTGATACAGACGTTTACAAGGAGAGGTCACTGCTGTAACTAATAGAACAGCAACGTTCTCTGGAGATCTACCACAGCCATGTGAGCATGGCTGGTCCAGTAGCTCCTTGACCTTGCTCTCAGCTAACTTTTTTTATGCCAGAAGCTAAGCAGAATGAACCAGATATTCCACTGGTTTTACAGTTCTTATAGTATGCTATTATTTACAGAACCTGCTTGACTGAACATTTCCTATTATTTATAACTTTTAAATATGAAATCTGACAGCTTCTATTTATTTACTTACTTATTTTTTATTATTACAGACATTTTGTTACTTTTTTTCAAAGAAAAGCAATTCCTGTCCATCCCAGTGCTTCCCAGCCACACAGTTAAGGACAATCACTGCTACATGCTGGTGGTTGGCATCTGGGTGCAGGATACCTGTGCCCTTAGCTGTGCCTGCAGTTGGAGGACAATCTGTCAAGACTGCTGTTAGCCCAGGTGTCTGGTCATAGGCTGCACTAAAAGACCCTGAAATCAAAGACTGTGGCTGAGATGTGAGTCATCAGCAGATACCAAGCACATTTCAGAGAAAAACCACTAAATGGAACATGCCTATGCTGCCCTCTGATCTTTTTAGCTTGTACTTATGTTAAAGAAGTAACACACAGAAGGCAAGAGTTAACAGTGAATGACAGTGACCTCAATTGCCAAGAAAGCCTTACTGCCCAGCTTCTTTCTCCTGCTTTTCCTCATCTATATGTTCCTGTTATCTCAAGTCCCCTCCCTTTTTTGTTCCAGCTCGGATTATCAACGGGCTTTTCTGTTAATTGATATAACTTACCCTGCAACGGAAAAAAATATCCTTTTTTTGTTGCTTAATGGAAGAAACTGGCTCACAGAAACACCTTGTTAGCTCTGTGCTGTAGGCAGGAGTGAATGGCTAGTGCTGGGGCAGAAAGGGGGGAAGCAATGTGGGTGTCAGCTGTGATAGGCTGTTAATTCACCTCATCAGAGCTGTGAAACCATTACTTGGGGCTCAACAGCTTGTCTTGCAAGCAAAGGTGGTGAGAATACCTGCCAAGAAGGTTCTATAAGCTGTGATTAAACATATTGCTACAGCAGCTAATGTGGGCAGAAGCTAGAAGTGGAATGTTATCCAAGCCCCAGGTTTTCATTAGCTGCAAATACAGCACTGATAATAGAATAATGACAGTCAAAGCATAAGTGGAATTCTGAAGATATCTTAAGTAATTTGTAGCACTGAATAATGAATTTAAGAGTAAAAAGTGCACTGCTAGATATTCAATTTCCAGTTTATTCAAATTATTGCTTATATTAATGCAATTAATATATAGCACATTTTGCATAGAATCATAGAATCACAGAATCACAGAATCATAGGGGTTGGAAGGGACCTCCAGAGATCATCGAGTCCAACCCCCCTGCCAAAGCAGGTTCCCTACAGTAGGTCGCACAGGTAGGCATCCAGGCAGGTCTTGAACATCTCCAGAGAAGGAGACTCCACCACCTCCCTGGGCAGCCTGTTCCAGTGCTCCGTCACCCTCACTGTAAAGAAGTTCTTGTGCACATTTGTGCAGAACTTCCTATGCTGCAGTTTCTGGCTATTTCCCCTCATCCTGTCTCCACGCACTGCTGAAGAGAGTCTGGCCTTGCCACTCTGCCCCCCACACCTCAGATATTTATAGACCTGGATCAGGTCTCCTCTCAGTCTTCTTTTCTCAAGTCTAAACAGATCCAGATCACTTAGCGTTTCTTCATAGGGTAGATAGTTCCCTTTTTTGGATCAGAATTTAGTGAGGGTCTTTCTGTTGTTCATAAAAGTGTGTGCATATATACATATATGCTTTCTGAACTTCTGCTTGAGACTATAATGATCTCAACTATCAGAACACCATGGGACTCTGAAAGAGGATCTTACCTCTGAAAAATTATTGTACGTCTGATTTTTAGTATTTGCGTGCTAACAGCACCCTAGTAAAATCAGGAAGTTTTACCAGTTCCAGTAGAGTTGGGATATCAAAGAACAGAGATGCTAACGTCCGTATTCACAGAGCACACTTAGTTGCATAGATATCATTAGATGACTTGCCTGAGGCATTTAGAAAAGCCTCTGTGGAACAGGCACTGTACCTAAGCCCTCAAATCCAGGAGTACTTCCCTTACTACTGAACTTTGTTGTCTTATTGTGCTTGCAACAAATCGTTCATTTAAAACTGGATTTAGACTACTCTAGGAGTTTTGAATGTTGATCCTGGTTGGGGGGAAGGATATAAAACTGCTGCTGATGCACAGAGTTTCCATGTCTATGACATAAAAAACAAGCTTAAAATAAGTAGTACTGGGTTCTATTGATGCCCTGAGGAGCTGAAGTCAGAGAAGTGAAGGAATACCTCTGAAGAATAAAACCAAGACTTAGCATTACTTTGGTGTTACTAAGAAAGCTGGTCTGGTGATGTTCTGTGCACCTGCTTGGAAAACACAACACATAAAAGAAGAAGAAACAGTTTTAAGATTAAGTCTACATTGTGAATATAATATAATCATAAGTCTAAATCTTGAAGCTTTCTTTTATATAAATTCATTTTGTTGAGATATTTAGAGGGGTTTTACATATATTTTAAGGAAGGAATTTTAAAATGGAAGTGCATGAAGCATTAAACAAGTATTTTCCAATGGAGTTTTCTCTGATATGAAAGGAATTCTTGGTGTCACCTCTCATTTCCTGTGCTGGCTGTAGGACACCAGGAACAAAAAAGTTGAAATTCTAACTAGTGACATTTAAAAACTGGAATATACATTATTCTGATATGCCTTATATATATGACTTTAAATTATCACTGAGAACAGAACAGGACTTTGGAGCACCTAATGACCTTCCCCAGCATAGATTTGATGTGCAGATATATGCATGGATACATCTACTTTGCCCCTTTAAATTTGTTCCTAGGTTACTTAGGGTTTGTCTACTCAGGGAGCTCAGAGCTGCTGATGGATGTTACCAAGCTTCATGTGAACCAGCTTCATCCATGAAAAGGTAGCAGAAGGTGAAGTGTGCCAAATTCATGGCTGCTGGAAGCCACTTTCAAACTTCTAGGTAGGTGTTTGCCCTGTGGCTCTTCATAATCATGTAATTATTTGTTGCTATTTTTATCTCACTGTGAAAGTATTAATCAGACAAATTAGACAGCACACGCAGTCTACAGAATAAGTTTTAGCTCAATACACCTGCTTATGTTGTCATAACATAATTATTAGCTTTCTATTTTCATCAGATTTTTGTTTTCTTCTATTATTAATAAAACCATTTTTATGAAATGCAGACTGTATTGAAAATTAGTATATGAATGTCATTTTAGTGATCATATGGACAATGTATTTTCTATTCTTGACGTCCTTCTCTTCAGGACATTAACAGTATTTAATAAGTGAAAATTGGATTTAAATGCAAGAATGTAAGACAGATGCTATTAGGTAGCCTTGAAACAGCAACAAAAGAAATCTGAACACATAAGGCATGAAAGAAGCCATACACTTTAAAAAAAAAAAAAAAGGAAAATTTATGCTGAACATGAGCAGTGTTTGTTTTGTTCTTCAGTATGCCTAGTTTAATAATGTTCTAGCAGTGTTACATATCTACCTTCACTGTATTTTTTTTTTCCTTTTCGTTAGTGTTACTACTGGCAAGATTCACACAAATAAACGTTGACGCATTAAAAAAATAAAAAAGATGAATTTTTTCAGAGTGTGTTTCCATAGGCCCCTGGGCTTTTCTAGCAGCTCACTGCCACCCAAGGAGTCCAGCTCTTGCTTTTGCTGTGTTCCAAGACCTTCTTGCAAGTATCTTTCCTGCAAGCACTTCTGTGACCGCACAGCTCTGTCCTCCCTCTTGCTCTAGTATTGTTGCTCAGAGCACCAGGGAAGAGAAATCACGAGAAAGCAATGAAGCAGAACTATTTTTCAGTTTCTCTGGCTTCTAGGAACTGTGGCTTCTACCCATCCTCCTGAGACAGCCAGTCATGTTCTCTTGGTCTGAAGGCCTCTTATGACTGTAGGCAGGGCTGAAGACTGGGTACAGGCCAGCAAAGGCATGAAAACAAAGCAGAGAGAAAGCATTGGTTTGGAGTGGTTGGTCATCCCTGGCAACACCCTTGGCACAAGTAGTTGAGGTCAACCCAACTGGCTCCTCTGTCTCCAGACTCTAAAAAGGTTGCAAGGAGGAGCTAGGTTTATAGAGAGACAACACTTGCAGATCCCAAAATGTTCATTTAGTAGAAATGAAGTCCTGTTAACAAATGGGCAGCTTTCTTTTTTAAGAACACTTAGTTAAAAGGATATAAAAACTATCAAGATGTGCAAGCTTCAAAAGACCGTAAGTAATGTCACTTCTGGCTGTCAGATGCCGTAAGTATGTGTAATAAGAGCCAAAGGGAAAGAATAACAAACAGTGCTTTTTGAATTAAAAAAAAAAAAACGTGTCTTTTCTGTTCAGCATTGAAAAGGGAATCAAGTACTTCTGCATTTATTAGGAGTTATTTTTCTGCGTGCCTGCCTTTATTCTAAAAGGAAGAGTGAATGAGAATGATGAGCTTCTGTTAGCTTAGTGAGGTGGAGAACAATTGTGAAGAAGCGGAAAGTTCAAAGTACATGATATTGCAAACAATACAAAAGATGATTTCTCTAATGAGAAATACCAAAACCAACTCAACAATGTTTCCTAGAAATATAGTTGCTGTAATCCCTTGAGCTCCATTCAGTTTCACATTGCAGTGTTTGCACAAGTGATATGAAGTGAAGACTTATCAATTATTTTAAAGTAATTCTTAATGTTACATTTTTGTCAGTGCTTCTTTGCTTTACTCAAACTCAAACATACTCTCCAAAGTAGCTCAGGCTTAGAATAGCAATGAGGTGTGATTAATGGGAGGTAAAAGACATTGTCGTCTCAAGCTGTGATGCCAGCACAGTTACTGACATAGGTTCTGATTTGCCTCAGAAATAAAAATTTTGTTCAGAATCAAAAGGAGCGTACAGCTTTCTTGTGGCTTCCAATTGCAACCTGTCTATACCGGTTAGCCAAAATGCAAAGCAATAACCAAAGTCATAGTCATTTACAGTAATTGTAGGCTTGAGTTGGGACTTAGGGCTGATGGTGAAGGATGAGGAAGTGCTCAGGGGAGAAAGAGGCACAGAACTGTGGTGATCTTGCCCTGGGAAACTCCCTCTGGTGCAAACTTGGCAGGGGATTATTTGATAACCACAATTTACCCTTATGCTCTCCATCTTTTCCTCAGCAAGGTGGTCCGTCCAGTTTTTATTGCCACAGCTCTGTATTGGTTACAGCTTCAAGGAAAGGAAATGTATACTTGCCACTTGAAGTACCCAGATGCAGGACAGACATCTTGAGAGGACACGCTCAAACATTTCTGCCTATTTTCAAGTGAACTTGCAGTTCTGGAACTTCCAAGGCAGATGAGGAAAAGAAACTGAAGACAGTGAGATGAAGGAGGGATTATTCTCCTTTAACCAGGTTGTAACACAAACATTCAAAAACTATTTGGTACTTCCATTGTCACAGGAACCACGTGACCACAGATGAGAATAACATATTTCCAACCAAATTCTGTAACAACATTTTCTCAACTGCTAAAGGAGTAATAAGCTGATGGTAAAACATGAATCATTTAGTCTATATAAATACATGATTTTAGCATGGGTGCATTGTGGAAAGCTATGTCACAAGTGTATGATGTATATTGAAAGATGATGGATAATTTCACTGCAATTATTTGTTCTTTTTCAGAAGCCATCTTATCAATTTCTGTATTTTTCATGATTCTCAGCAGTGTAAATGTTGTAAGAGTTTGTTCCAAAATTAAATGATAGTCAGTGTCATTAAACGTGTCCCTTTGTATGCTATTTTACATTTGACAGTTCATCACAGACAACTTGTACATTTACCTCTGCATAACCTTCACTGTGTCTTATAATAGTATATATTTTCTTCATTTACTCAGGTGAGAAAAAGATAGCTTTTCTTTTTTAAGGAGTGGGGCACTTGTCACGGTTTCTATCTGAGCAGAGCTATAACACAATTCACTTAAGATACACAGATAATGCTTTCTATCAGCCTCAGGTCTCGTACCTACTCTTTACACAGCACAACAAATATACAAATCCAGTAAATTTAGATACTTAAACCTGTTATTACTATTATTTAATGTGATAAATATTTAGTATAAGATCCTAAGTAATGTGTGGGAAGGTTGATATACAAAGAGGTTGGCTATGTGGCTGTGATGGATTTAAATTACAAACACACTTTTAAAACTTTTAGTAGCAATTGGATTCATTTATGTAGGAATGCAAAGAAATGAAGTTGCTGCATAAATGTTATCTGTTGTGTGAGATACTTTACAAATTTATTATGTTATCTTCAAAGATATATTGTTTTCTAGATTCAGGATTCTACACTTGACTGTAAAAATTTTGGCAGACAGTCTCCAAAAGTCATGTGTGTTTCCTTTTTTTTTTTTTTTTTTTTTTTTTTTTTTGCTTAAAAATACTCTGTTTTGTTGAGAAACTGAATTACATTTGGAAGATAATTTACTTTAAAATAGATACATTAATACATTACCAAAATAACACACATTTTTTGCTTCAGTCCTCCTTCCCATTTTATATTATCCTTTATTATTGTTACTGGTGGTTTTAAATAGGTTGGTTATGCAGCAAAATCTCATATACACGTGACTTCTAGCAAAAAATATCTCTTGGCAATAAGATCACAAAAATGAAGACCAGCCTAAAGCAAGAGTGAAAATATCCTCTGTGGACAGATGCTAAGTAGAAAGAATGAGTCAGTCTGGAAAGTGAAATTTAGGGAAAAAGGAAGGCAGTTCTGCAAAAAGATAACATTGCTATGTCCAAAAAATCATTTTCTTGAGCATTTGTGTCAGTGTCACAGTGGAAGAGAATAAATGGTAACCATCACTTACAGCTTCTGGACTTTTCCCTGAACCTTAGCTCTAGAAGTAGATTACACTCGCTCTAACACATACCCATCAACAACCATGCCACCTACTGAAGACAGATACAGCAGATCACCGTGTCAACAAAATACCAAGAAGAAAACACCATACCCTTTCAGGTAAAATCCCCCACTTGTCTATTAAACGCATTTACTTTCATTCGCTGTCTGATTCCCCATGCTTGAATACTATTCTAGTTACAAAAGTACGTGCAGTTATTATGACATACCTGTAGTGAAAATTTGAATACTTTTAACCTTTTATTTTCTCAAATATTGTTGTTTGGCTTTTACAGAGACTGAATTAGGAAAATCAGCCAATTCTGGATCAGGATTGATGTAGCAAGGTCATGAAGCATTTCAACCGTGCATGAAAAAGAGCTGGTAATGTTGGAATGTTAGTATATGGTATTCAATTAAGTGCTACATATTGTAGGAAGTAAAAAGAAACTATTGGCTTTGTAATGGAGTCACACTTTACTTTTTCTGCAACTTACCAGTCATTATCAAGCTCTGATGGCAGATGAAGGAGCCAGTTTCTTCCAGTCTTTAGCAGGAAAGAATAAAAACTCTTTCCTATAACCAAATCTCATAGTTTTAAAAGTCACAGTACTGATTAACCCGTATGTATTAGCTTTTGTCAAGCCCATGTGTATTAGCTTTAGTCATCTGAATTTTTCTTGGTCTTTGCTGTATATCTTAGACTTAAATTTCATTTTACCACCTAATTTAATGTTATCAAAGCTTTAGATTGCAATATCAGTGTGTCTGCATCTTGTTGAAAAAGTATGAACTATTTCCAATGTGACTTGTGAGCCTGGGACCAAACAGGGCAACAGAAAAGAGGAAGGAAAATGTGTGATGGCTGAGAAAACTGTAACAAGTCCTTACAAAGTTGAAGATGTGAAGTGGGTATGATACAAACCTGTCATTTTATTCTGGTCAGAAAACTCGTGGGATGGATGAGAAATAGGACATGTTTGAGCACTGGAACTTTTTTTTTTTTTAAACAAACTATGAGATGAATTCTGTGAAGAAAAAAGGAGTTAGTCAGTATCACCTCATTTGTCATTCCTGTAGAGCAAAGAAGAACGTGTTACTTCAGCTCTTCTGAAACCAAGCTGCAGCACGAAATTCATACAGGTCCCTGGAAGATCTATGTCTCCACCTATAGATAGGAATATCTGCAAGCACTTATATTACCTGTACAGCTGTCTGTCTTCAGCACTGTTGTTTGGTGTCTGTATTAGAAAAAATACAGCTATAGATTCATACACAGTAATTTGACAACTCTATCTGGGATTTTGTAATTCATAAAATTCTACGTGAATAGGAAAATACTGATAAATTTCAGGAGGTGCCGAAGTATAGTCCAACTCATTTTAACAACCGAGGCTGTTATGTAACAGGACTTTTCCTTGTATGTCCTTTTTCTAAAGGAAATAGAAGATTTTCTGCCTCACCGTGGAGAGGATCAAAAACTGAGCCAGGTTACAGAGCTTATGGTGAAGTGAGGAGTTTTGTTCACTTCAATCCCAGAACCACCAGATTCCATCAAAGTTGCTATCACCACAGTGGTGGTGGTAATATTTCAACACTTAGTTGAGGATTGTGTCCCTTAAAGTCAACGAACTTGTAGCATAGTATTAATATAATCTTTAATACTCATTAAAACTGAAAATATGGCCTTTTGAAATAATACTGCCTTCTTTCCTGAAATGGTTATAGTGCTAGAAGCATTATTTGACAGTAGCAAAATGTCTTATTGATGTGCCTTTAAAAGAAAGTTTTACAGAAAGCATTTTAATGCACTTAGCCATTGAAAAATTTACTTGCTGTGCAGTTTTCTGAATAACATATATTGAATATAGTATTTATGATGAGATTTAGAACCAGGATGTATTAGTATGTAGATGAAAATTACTTATGCTGTGTTTTTGCAATTATTCTCTGGCATAAATCTGGAATGAAGTCCCTAGAAATTCCAACATAAAAATCTGAAATGTAATATTAATAACCTGAAATTGAGTAGTGCTCTTGAACTGTAGTAGAAATCTTGTGTCCTCAATTGTAATTAATTTCATTCAATTTCAGTATACATGAGAGATGAATGTGATGGAAGACAGTATCAATAAGTAATAAATGAAATAGTATCAATAAGAAATAAATGGAATAACTGATATTCCAGATCTTTACAGACAGTGCTAATCTTGTTGCAACAACCTCAGGCATAGAAGGATACTAATTAATGACTAAATTTGAGAATTTAGTTTAAAAATAAATAATCCTAAAGCTTTTTGCTTAAAAAAATATAATCGTTCTTAAAAATTAAATCTCTAAATTTCTGCTAATTGATTCACATGCTTGGCTATATTGTATTATTCACTTTCTGAATAACAAAAGCATTGGATAGTGAAAATAGTTGTAAGAAGCAAGAGGAGAAATTATTTCTTGTGCCAGTTGACTATCATTCGATGACTAAAAAATTATCAATGACAAGGAGGAAGCACAAACCTGCTTATACTGGTACTTCAAAATGTTACAACTTGAGTTGTCCATCTGTTGTGCTGAAAGAGGACGTGATTTTTGCTCCATGTGCTATTATTGCCATTATGGTAAAGCTGCACAAACAGATATGTAATACTGATTAACAGAAAAAGAACAAGAGACAGGGCTATAGAGGGATATTCAGACATCTAAAGCAGGATGTCAATTTGCGACACTCTACCTGTCTTCACAGTACAAAGAGGGAAGAGAATGTGCTTCTCTCTTTTAGTCAAGTCTAGCTGGGTAGATGGCTACTTAGAAACTCCTGAGTTTCATGCATTCAGTCTGCTTGTTCCAGTCTGGCACTCTTTCTGAAGTGTCTTTCTGCTATATTCATTGTGTCAGCCAGAAGTGGTAATGTTGATGCTCTATTGTAACTTCTGAAATAAAACAATCCTCAAGTTTCTTCATATGGTTCCCGTAGGCTCTCAATATTACTCTGAAACTTACTGCCTTTTACTGCCTTGGCAGATATCAATATTGATTGTGAAGAGTTAAATGAAATGGCCAGGATGCCTTTGGCACATTGTTCATAGTCTCACCTACGTTAACATAAAAAAACATTAAGTAGAAGAGACTTGCAATCATGCATGGGCAAAAAAAAGTGGCCATTGCACCTTTCACTGCCTCATGAAGTTTACTACCAGACAGAAGATAAATTTGAGTTGTATGCAGTATGCAGACTTCTGACCAGCCAAACAAAAAAAAAAAAAAATTCACCTTAGAAAATCTAAATCATCCTTCTGAGTCACAAAACCTAATCAAACACTTTATATATATATTTCCATTATAATTAGCACAGAACTGGACATAAGTTCTTTTTTTTATCTCTATAATTAGAGTATGATCACTTAATTTGAATTTCCCCTGGATGTATTTTTATAGCACTTGGGCCATTCAGGTTTGTTTCAGGTTTTTTTTTTTTGTTCTTGATTTTTTTTGTGTCTATTGTTGCATTGCTTTTTTTCCTGTTGCTGTTGTTTTGTTTTCTATTTAGTTTATACTTTGCTATTTTTAGTAATATTTATTTTGCCATTGCTAATGATATTAACTTTGAAATTGACTTGGCCAGCTGAAGATAGGTCTTAGTTAATTTTCTGTAGATGGGAAGTTTTTTTACAGCGTGATGGAGATTGATCTTTACTGAGAAAGCCTGTCTAAGTTTTCTTTTTGAAGGATTAATATAGGAGCACTTTTGATTGCTATTTCATGTAATTCAACCTTCACGCATGGCAAGCTGACAGATGAAAGCTTCAAACTCCCTCCTGAATTAGAGAGAGATACCAGAATCCCGTTTTCCTTATCTGGATCTGCACTTTCCTGGCAAACAGTGTCCTATAATGGTGAAGAATGCAGGCCACTGTTAACACAGTCTCACGAAGAAATACTACTTGATAAACAGATTTTATAAATATCTTATCATTTTTCTAATACAGAAACATAAGAAAGTAGGGCTAGATGGGAGATCTGTGATAATCTCACCTGTGCCAGCACCTGCTCCTGAGGAGTCTAAATGTCACAGTGCTGCCTGTATGAGGTATTTAAGGGTCACTGGTTAGAGAACTGAACAGAGGAAACATTTTTTAAATATATAAATGCAAAGAGTTTCTTTTTGCTGCATTTTTGAAGATAAACGTCTCAAAGAAAGAACTAAAAAAAAAGTGGATATTATTAGTGGAGATAGCAGGAAACTGAGCAAGTGGATCTGGAGATAAAATGAAGGCATGGACAGTGGCAGGGTAGTCAGGGAGCATCACCTTAGGGCAAAATCATGAGATGTGACTGGTAGCAAAGAATAAAAATAGTAACTGTATTCAGGATGGAAATATATGAGAATAGCAAATTAGCAAATGCCTGGACTGAAAAAAGGTTAAAACCTAGCAGGCTTGAATAGGAGAATTTTTATTAAAAAAATTAAAAGACAGATTAAAAAAAAAAAAAGTTAAAATATATTACTTGCTACCAAGATACCGCTTCTAGAAGACAAGAATTCTTGAAATAATCAAAATAACAGAATAATTACAAGGATAACCAGAATTATGTATCTGTTCACTGTTTAAAAAAAATTGCAGGAACAACAAAGAAACCCCTTAAGGAAACTCAAATCAAGAGCTCAGAAGAAGAAATCTTATTTATAAATATATATATTAAATCAATATATTCCCTATATGAGGGGATAAAGTGAGGTTCTTTGTGTTTTCTCTATGTAAACTGCCTTTATAGGGGAAAATTATATCTGTGCCTTCTCTTTGAACTTGGTAATATCCTCAGAGTCAGTTATCACAGAGGGAAGGGGCTTCTTCACAGTCATCTTACTAAAGGAATTACAGAGCTCTTCAAGTAGGTGACATGCTTTTGGGCTCTGTAACGCCCAAATCAATAATATTAAATAGCATATACTATAAAAAGGAATCCTGTTACAAATGGATTTCTGTTCTAAAACAGATTACATCTAATCTTTTAGCAAGTTTCATCCTTATGAGACAGTCTTTAATAGAAGTATTAAGCTTGCTCAAGCTCTATAGCATTTCTTTAATGCCAACAACTATAAAGCTTTTTTTTTTTTTTTTTTTCTCAAGGAAAGGATCTGGAATTTCCGGTATTCTTTTGGAGCTTTTTCAAATCCGCTGCCTTTTAGTGCTAAGAAGCGTTTCTTTTTTTCCTCAAAAATGTTTTCTGCAGCTGCCATTGGGAGCCCAGTGTTACACCTCCCCTTTCAAATCACTAATAACGTGCAACTAATGTGTGTCATTTCTATCTTTATTTGAAAAGAATATTTTATGCATGGATACATCCACTAATACATACAGAGGAAGAAAGTTGGAACATTGTAAAGTGGTTCTCTCATTCAACCTTAATACACACACCAATCAATTTATATATATGTTTTCAAATGCAATGCATTTTTCTATGTTACACACAAACAATAAATGCTTTTTTTCAGACCAGGCATTTTTTTCCTGTTTTGCTTTTGACAGGGGTACTTTTTTCAGAATTAGTATTTTTTGTGTGTGTTTCTCAACAATCAGCCATTTGACACCTAAGTAAATCAATTATATCCTGCTCAGAGTGCTTTTTCTTAAGGAATATCTGCTGAAATATACATTGTCTGGAACATATGAGATAGAAACGACATCTAAATTAAAAAAGTTTGGCAGTTATAGTGAAATATTCATTTGAACATTTCTCTGCTCACCTCGTATTTCTCTGAGTATAATCACACTTACGATAATGCCAAAAGCAATTTCAGCACTGTATGACAGTGAGGACTAACAGTTCCCATAAGATATTGTCTGGATTTGTCTTCTGATTAGGTATTGAATGGAGTTTCATTGTGGATTGGCTTTAACTGTTTTTTGTAAAACATTGAGAAGCAGGGGAGACTTCAGTTTTCAAAGCTGATCATCACAATGGAACAGCAAGAAGAAAAGTGATCTGAATTATACTGGATTTAAAACTCATTGTACTTTACTGAACACACCTGCTAACACATTTTCCTATTTTTTAGGGCTATAATACCATTGCAGTACAGTATTTAAAACTACTTGAACACTATCAGGAAAATCATTTGGGGAAAGTATCCCCCAAAATGGAACAGATTCCAGAGTCCATTTTTATTTTAATCAAAGTTTTTAAACAAAATTTTTCAATGCTACAGCATTTTTAGTGATCCTAAAAGAGGCCTGTCCAGTCTAGTGAAGTAAAGTAAAAAGTACTTCCTGTAAAATTCTGTCCATGTGTTCAACTTCTGCTGTTGCCATGAGAAATTTGCATAACCACAGTTGGGAGATGTAAACAATACAAACAAAGGTAAGCAGCAGGCAAAGTGTCTCTGTGCAGTCATCAGTGTGGGGAAAGGATGGCTCGGATACATTTTTCTGTAATCAAAATATTTTACATTCCTATTTCTGGATATTATTTTTAAAAATCCATAAAAACTGGTGTGTCTATTCTTAAGTAAACTATTTCTTCATTGCAGACAAAGAATAATAAGGATGAAGTGTAAGCAGAACTCAGGAAAAATAAAATATTTCCCTGAGGGAAATTTCACTCGTAAATCACTAGCACACTCACCTATCTTGGCTTCAGTTTAAGAAGATGAATAAACATCCACATACATCCACACCTCCGATTTTATTTCCTGTAAATACTTAATACTAATAGTAAAATACATTCCTTCGCACACAGGAAGTGGAGGGATGCCCCTCCGGGCTCGTGGAAGCACTCTCCGTGGTCCTGGAAAGAAATCCACTGTCACAGTAAGGACAGACCTGAGATTACCGGAAAAGACCAGTTCTCTGACTTCAAGTAAACTAAAGAAGAGAAGAATTTGCTTTCATCTAAAGAAAGTCTTCAAAATGATTTCTGATTTTCTAATTAATAAGCAGAATTATTAATTTAGGGAAACATTTGCCTCATTTTTTATAGATTGTAAACACGCTGTGCTGTTAACGGTTTCTACCCCTTGGGAAATGCTTCATAGGATATGAATTACATGTAAGGAAAACTAACCAGAGACAGTAGCAAATGAAAACAAGATGTAGATCTTTCTGCCAGTGTATGAAATGAGAGCCCAAAATGTAACTAGAAAATTTAACAAAGAAAACAGTCACTCTCTTCCTTTGATTTAGGAAAAGATTTGAGAAGTAGTAATTTTCCCCCAGCCCTCCTTCTCTATCCCTTATTGGTGATGATTACCATGTTCATTTTTAAAAAAAAAAGTCAACAAGCAAGATACCTAGAAGTTCTGATACTTGGCATATCCTAAAACAGATGCTTCCTCTCGTGACTGGCAGCTGTGTGTGTAAAATTGAGTTGCATCAGTGTTGACCATGTGGAGTAATCCTTGGCTGCTGCTTTGAGAATAACCTGAAATTTTTAAAGAAGATGGGTCCTTTTTGGAAAATATCTAACAAAACGATAAAAGGAAAAAGGTGAATGGACAAAATAATCTCTTCCTTAAGCAACTTGGCTGATACATGTTAGTTCTATAAAGGCAAGCTGTTCATTTTCTGAACATAAATTCTGTGTCCTGTATTGTGTCCATTATCTTTCACTGCCTGTGTTGATCTTTCTTCTCATGGTAGGGAAACAAAATTCAAAAAGGAAGATTGCTATCTCATGATAGAAGGTACAAGGCTAGACTGATATTTGGGATTAGTAATTACATATCTAATTCTGACATGAATTTACTACATTTTTTAGTATATTATACAGCTTTTTCCAGGGTAGCATTTGTGTAAGCAGAGATACAAAGACAAGATGAAATACCTGAAAGCTTTTTCTAACTTTGGACATGCAAGAATCTGCTATTCCTATTAACACTGAACCCTGTACCAGTTTTTCAAAGACAATCTCCTCTCTCCACTCCCAATATTTGTTCTTTGGTATTCCCACCTCAATGTTTCCACATTGCTAAGTGTGATCTCTGACCTTCAGCAGATTATCACGCACTACTTACTTAAGCTCACTGACTGACAAACACTGGGGCCTCAAAATCCCCAAAAAATCATGAGGTTCACCAGATAAGTGGCTCAAATGACAATGATTAAGCATTATGAAATATTTATTTACAATTTCTGTCTATATGAAGGATTTCATAACCAGAAGAGAATGCACTAGTAACAATTCTTAAGAGCTAAACTGTCATAAATTATAAGTACCTTAATATACCTTAAATTGACATAAAATAAACTAAATAAATTAACATAAAATAAATTAAATAAACAATATACCTTAAATTGACTTTTGAGTTTAATTTATTATTTGATGCCATTAATTGCTTAGGAAATAAAAAATTCAGAAATTAGTATTTGAAAAAAGACTAATTACATTTAAAAGTTACTTGTCAGCACACTTGGAAAACTATAAAGGAAGGTATGAAATAATTCACTTCTGTGCATCTTTCACATCATGTACTACACCTCTAGCCAATCATGATGTCTCACAACATGATTAGTAATTCATATTTACCACAATCTGTCACACATGCCAGATTAACAAGAAGTCTTGTTTTCATTCCAATTATACCTTAAAATGATTATTAGCAGCTACAATCCATTACTGAAGAACTACTATCAAGTGTACTGGTAGAAGCACTCAGTACTCTGCATGGACATAACACACTTTTTATAAATGTTCTTCTCTATATGTATTACTTGCAGATAAAGACAGGTGAGTCTTTTCATGGAGCTCGTTGCCAAGTAGCTTCCTCTTCTCAAGTCTTATATCATAAAATTTCTTGGCTCCTGTTTAGTCTCCTTTCAAAATAACATGCTGATTGCTAGGCACAATTATATATATAAATTATATTCCATACCCTGCATTAGAAAGATGATTAGAAAATTTCTTTTCAGCAATCAACAATATCTGGCTGTAGGACCACAGCCCTGGGTAATGCAGAACCTTCTCCAAAAGCACAGCTGAATGTGACTACACTGGAGAAAAATGAGGAAACTTTGAATGAAGCATAATTGTGGTTTGATCAGGAAGTGCTGATTCTGCATTTTCTTAATATGCTTCTTTCAAATGTGATAAAACCCACAAAAATTAAACTTGATCTTTCCACATAGCATATTTATTGCCCTCCTTTACACCCAAAGCATTCTATTACAGCAGAATTACATCTTGGATAGAGAAAAAATATAATGAAACCAGTAGTCCTGTGGTGTGTAAGCACTTCATCCAAAGAGCACAGCAAAAATACATAAGAATGTCACTCACCTGACTATTGGCTCAATGCAGTTTCAGTATTCAGTTCTATTTTCTCCAAACAGAGGAGGAAACTTGTCCTCTTGCATTTAGCCGGCACTTGTTTTCCTTGATAAGCTGTCAACAAGCACCATGTGCTTTAAAGTGATGTAGGAGGAGTTTATGATAGTGAAATTCACATCGTATATGGATAAATGAACCTCTGTGCTAAAAAGAAAAAAAAACAATAACAAAATAAAGGAGAGAGTCTGCAGAGGAAAACCAAACCAAATCAAAATACATATTGCCCATGTATTATGGTAAGTAGAGCTACATAATGAGTTTCCCTGCTCTTCCAAGACTTTGTGTGAATGAACTAAGTGTGACCCTATATGAAAGTGAGGGATTCCTTTTCAGTTCACAAGAAGTGAACAAGTATGTCGTGAATCTTTTCCAACGCAGCCTGTGTCAACTGGTCACTTCACATAGCAGCATGGATTAAAAAGTTTAAATTTTCAGTTATACTCAGAATTTGTTTGCAGATTTAGAAGGCCCCCCAGTTAAATAATTACCAATAGCTGAGAATGGAAAGGAGATTAGTTTACCTTTAATTTTAAAAAACTTGAAATAGGCATCACTATACAACTATATCTGATGATTTAATATTTCGATCATTTCTTGTAATGAAAAGTTTCTATGTCACATGATGAAAAAATCCTATATAGAATGCCTTTAAAAGATCTCTTCAATCTTACATAAATCATGAAGTTAACACTCAGAAAAGTTTAGAAATAAAAATGGAGTCTGTACTGGATGAGAAGACAGGGATCCTGTATTTCTTCTGAAGTATTTGCATTTATCCTCGTAGATTGCAGTACAGAAACATTGAGAAATAATTACATTGGGCATCCTTATAACATTCCACATCCTGTTATGATCATTTATTTCTCCCTTAAAGGTCTGTACTGCTGAATTTATGATACTATCAGACAGGTGGAAGAAAGAATGTGAAAAAAAGAACCACATTATTTTTTCCCTTTTTTTTTTATTTTTAGGTATTTACTAACACTACTTATTATGAAATGTAAGCAAAGCATAATTTGTGGTGATGTGGTTTGGGATTAAGAATGTTTTTGTTCTAGATTTTATTGATCTAGAACTCATTTGTAACTTCCCAGTTTATATGCATTGCAGCTATTCATGAGTATGTGTGCATACCTACATAAAATTTCTTTTAAAATAAATTAAATGCATTTTTTAAAAAAACAGCATAACTGAGTTCTTTTTCCTGGATAGACATACCCTACAGTGAAAAGGTGTGACAGTGGTGACACTGCAGGTCAGGGTATGTAAAGAAATGCTCATTATTCTGCCTTTTTTCCCCAAAGACTATGACCTTCAGTGAAAATAAATAACATTTTGAAGTCAAAAGTAATGTAATTATTCATAGACTGTTTTGGATTAGTTGGCAGAAAAGCAAATATTTCAGTTCCAGCTTGAAAATCAAGCCATTATTTAACTTTCAATGTGCAGTTCCCATAGTAAATTCATTTTTAATGGGATGGTGTACCCGGTTTGTGCTTGGTAATTCAGCTATAAAAAATCTGAGCTGTGCCCTATAAATCAATCTGAATGGTATGCCATAAGACTGCAATAAATTTATGAGCTGCCTTTAAAAAAACAGAGCATATATTAAGTGTTTTATATGTTGCACAGATCACAAGTCAAATATTTGACTCTAGAAATATAACTATGGGAGGCTTTAAAATGATGAAATCTCTGGTGGATCACCTGGAATCCTTTCCATTTAGTGAATTCACAGCACAAAACTGAACGTTGGAATTTCTTTCAAATTCACTGGAAGATTTGGCTGTGAGCCTTGTTGAAGTTTCTTAGAGATAATATAAATTCATCCTACTGAATTTGCTTTGCTAATGGAGATGTAAGTGTAGCTGCGTATGTGATGCACCAGTTGATCTCTGCAAATCATTCATTTTGTGAATGACAATGGAGTCCTAGAATTTCATGACAGTAGCCTCCCACAGAGGCTTTTTTCTCCTGCATCTTAATTATTTATATATTTTGCACACTGTAGCCAGAAGGGCAAGAGAGATGAAGAAACTTAATTACGCAGAAACCTTTTGCTAGCTCTTATAAAAAGCAGCAACATAAAAAGATAGAAAATAGGAATTTAACTTGAATTCAAAAGTATGGTGACTTGTTAGTACAGTTTATAGATATATTCTGAGTTCAGTTTGAAAAATGATTCTACAATCAACAAATACACAACTAGCAGAGTGGAGTAGTTACACTGGCATTTTACAGGTCATATAATTAGAAGGATTAGCACAGTGAAAAAGGATAATTGAAAATAAATGAAAACACTCACCCATATCGTAAGCTTCAGAAGAACTCCAAAGGGAGAAATCTCCATAAAAAGAGCCCTCCCTAACGGCAGTCAGCCCTTAAATGGGTCTAGGAGAGGTGCAGCCAGGCTCCACCCCTTCCAGTCACACAGCTGAATCACCTTTACCTGTGCTCCCGCAGCTGACTCAGTGCTTGCCTCTGGTGATCAATCAGTGGTTCAGGCCACGATTCAACAGTTCCCATACAAGGATGCAATTGGATTTCCAAGCTCTAAGAGGCACTGTGTGGTTAGGAGACTCTGAATAGCCATGTAGAGAACATGAATTATCATAGGTCAGATGGATTTAAGTAAATACTCATACATACACATTATCCAGTATTGTTGTACAACGAAGAAACAGTCTGTAAGGAAAGTAACTGTTTCCCCAAATTGAAATACATTGCAGTATTTCCATGTTCTTGACAGCTGTTCATGAACAATACTGGTGATTTAGGTAATCTTTATATGAATCAGGTTATTGAGTTCATGGCATATTGGATCTAGACCTGAGGGGGAAAAGTCTGAACTGAAGTCGTGAATAGAAGACTGAATGATTCAAAACCCATTATTTATATTTCCAAGGAGTGAGAAATGAGTAAATGCTTCTATTTTCAGGATGCAACTGGAAGATTCATTTTTTTCAGTGTCTGGATGACAAACTTAATCAGTTTCAAGTTCACTTGGGATTGGTCAGCCTGTTTTACTCCTTATATGTTACTAACCTCCAGATATTTTGAATCTGTTTCCCTCCAGCAAGAAAGAACTTAGAGGACATTATAATCCTTCAAGCTTAACTTTTCATGCAAGTTACTGAAAGGCTGGTCTAAATCATGTTGAATATGTCGACAAGTATTTCAGTGAAATGAAATATCCCTGTTAAATACTAAAATAATAAAATGCAAAAATCTGAAAATGCACCATTGGCCATGTTGTATACCTTTGCCTGCATCATCAGTCTCTGCAAATTACACACACGTGTACATATATATAAGAAGAGCTAGCAAATATTATGAAAAAGCTCTTCATCTTAGACATGAATAATCTGCAAGTAGAAAGGAATCTATTGTATGATGTAAGCTGTAAGTATGTTATGGAGACAACCCAAAGCAGTGTAATTTCATCTGCAAACTACAGAGTCTAAATACAAAATCCTAGAGGAATTCAGCAACAGGACAAATTTTGATTTGGTTTCATTTTGACAAAGTGTGAATTTTAGTCAAGTTTGTATCTCACATTCAATGAAATGTAGAGATATCATCACTGATTTTTTAAATGTTAGCATGGTCTAGTTTCAAAAATAATATCAAATGGGAGATGATGTTTTCCATTTGAAACCCAAAGCCTTGCATATTTAATTCTAACTTTCTAGTGCAGAGAGATCTTAAGAAAGACTGATTAAAATAGCAGTATTAAAAAAAGAAAGTGATTTAAACGTTGTGAGACTTTTATGTTCTCTACAGTAATAGTGAGGCACTCAGGAGCTAGCTGTTCAAATGAATTTAAACCAGTCGCATTCTAAGACACATCTCTTCCAGCTTCCACATCTTCCTTGTGAGGTTGACAAAACTTTGTCTTCTGTCTGTCCTAACAGAACTTTTGGTGCCTTAGAAATACAGGCAATCAGACACCTCCAGAAGTTCTTCAAGGTGATAAAAAATGTTATTAATTAAAAAAAAAAAAAAAAAAAAGTTGTTTGATAGAAGGCAGCACTATTTCCTTTAAATTTCTTCATGTCTTTAAAACAGAATGTTGACAATATCTGCAGATTTCCTGTCCTCTTCCTCTCACTTCAAAAACATTTTTAAATAAGTATGGGAAAATCTTTCTTAAGAAAGAAATCACTGAAAATAGATTGCTTTCCTCAGATGATTTGTAAAGTAGCCAAAGAAATGCCTCTAGCAGAAAATAGTTTTGAATATCTTTTTAAATGTTGCTTTCCTCAGGTAATTAATGTTTTTATTGCAGATTACTGGCCACAAACCTCCAGTTCTTCTGAAAAGATGCCTCAGCTCCTGTGAATGCTAATGGAAAAACAAGTGAAGTAATCAGTTTGAAATAAAACATATAAAATTTTTATTCTCTTTTTTTTTTCTCAGGGAATATGACCAAGCTTCATTGCAAATGGCATAGGAAATGCATCATTCATAAGAAGAATTAACATATAAAGATTAAGGCCAAGCCACATTTTAATACTGTTAGACAGTAAAATGAATCACAGAATCATAGAATGGCCTGAGTTGAAAAGGACCACAGTGATCATTTAGTTTCAACCCCCCTGCTATGTGCAGGGTCGCCAACCACCAGACCAGGCTGCCCAGAGCCACATCCAGCCTGGCCTTGAATGCCTCCGGGGATGGGGCATCCACAGCCTCCTTGGACAACCTGTTCCAGTGCATCACCACCCTCTGTGGTGACTTTCTCCTGATATCTAACCTAAATCTACCCAGTCTCAGATTAAAATAATTTCCCCTTTGGAATGGAACTCTTATGGTACCTTAGTCTTCGATCTAGATTTACATGATTCCTCCTTAATTGAATTTGTATGTTATTGAAGTTCAGTTGCCATGGGTTGAATATGGTGGCTGTCTAATCACATGGATTTAAAGGACTTTACTCTGAAATACTATCATATTCCTTTTCTCATCTTTGTGAAGGAAGAAAATGCTTTGTAGAGTGCAGTTTAAATCTGATACAGTACCAAGCTAAATTTGACTCAATATTCTATATCACAGTGATTTTCAACCCTTTTCAATTTGTCTCCTCATGTCTTCCATTGAAGATGTCAGTGTCTGCAAAATATATTTTAATCTCATGACAAAGTTATTTAGCTTTGGAAGTCTCAGAAATGGTCCATACTTCCTTAGACCTCAGACCATAAACTGAAAACAGCAGCTGAAGTCAGTTGGAGCCAGCAATTAATGAAGATACAAAGAATGGAATTCACTATCTGGAAATGAGGCACAGTGAAGTCATACCTATAACATCAGACTTGAAACTGTCTCGGGATTTTTATGAATGCACAAAAGAGATGTTAATATTTCAGTTCTGTAACTTTGTCAAAGCAGTGCACCTGAAGTCTAACAGGGAAGAACTATCTTGGCATTACTTGAAAAATAAGATAGCATTGGCTGAAAGAGAAAAGATCATGCAGTACATGCAACCTCTATTGCAGTGGTAAATGTTTTGATGAAGATATCTAACCCTGCAGCTAAACCAGATTTATTCTGCTTAATAAGAGGGTTGGAAAAAAACACCACAGATCTCAAGGTAATAGAAATGTAGATAATTTAGTTCTTTTTTTATTTTACTACAGTAAATGTAGATGTGAGATGTTATTGCACACAACTGACAGAAGTGTTTTAAATGAATAACAATAACTGTGTGAAAGATCAGTGATTTCTCACTGCATAACTGTCATGGATTTGACAAATGATTTTTATATGTGTGAGGACTGATTGCTGGGATTTTGGCAAACAGAAAGCAATTTAAATTGCAAAATATTCCATTATTTTCCTTATTTTTAGTGAATGTAAATTATTTTTATTTAAGCATTGTGATTTCCAGTGAAAATAACAATAAAGAGAAAGGAAAAAAACTCTTCCATTTCACTGATGCCACCAGTGTTCTCAGAGAACCTCATGAAGCTGAGTGAAAGAAAGCTCACCAGACCTATATGCTAGGCTTCTGACATTATTGCCCCCATATTACTCCACAGGAACTATAAAACAGAGCTACAAAGTGGAACATGTAAGAGCCAGAAGAACTAACATATATTTCAAAATCCTTGTGCCTTTTGCTGAGACTCCTGTCTTTTTCAAATAGCCCTCTCTCCTTTCACAAAGGGAAGAAACAACTTACTGTTACATCAAGATCATCTGCTCTTCTGCTAAACCTGGAAGGAAGAAACCTGACATATCCTGCTTATAGCCTATAGTAGCAAGCTAGACAAAGATTGTCATATGAAAAGAAAATGGCAATATACAATAATGTGCAAATTATATACGACTTTTCTTTTATAGAACTGGAAAATACAGACAGAGCTACTGGAATATGCTTTCCTAAGCTGTATTGTTCCTTATAAACCTGTAAGACTTCTTTTGTCAAACTTCTTGATGTGCATTACTCAGCCACGCGGGTTACACTCTGACAACTCCGAAAGCAAGCATAAGACAAGAGGGTATGGGTTAGACAGTGGTGTGAAACTAACTGGAAAGTCATACAGAGATTATCAACTGAAGGAAATATAGACAAAATTACTTGCATAAAACTTTTTCTCAACTATATATATATATATGTTTGCAGTATTTTATGTGTAACATAAATACTTGCAACAAAAATTAGGTTGACTCTAAGTTCTGCATGACCCCCCCTCTCTAAAGGAGAAAATAAATGGAATAACAAGGGATACAGACATCATCTGGGATAGTCTGCAGCTCCCCAGGGAATCCTTGAATTACTTCTAAGAGGTCTGCTAGATACTATTTTAAAATGTAATTATACAGTGAGTAATCCAAAAATCGGCATGCAAATATGGCCAGTGAACACAATTTAAATGTCTGAAATTTAGAAGTACTTAAATATGTCACAAAGGACCAAAGCATAAAATGGATACAAGAAGGGAAAAAAAAAAAGAACTTTTTTCTCCAAGAAGCGATGCACGTAGACCATAAGCACACCTGCATTTCAAGGCTGGCATATTGGTGCCCTTAAAGAGAGGCATAATTGCTGAGCTGCCTGCTGGGAAGAACTACCTAGAACTTGTAGGGTTGGTCCCTTTGCACGTAGCTATGTGATAACGCCTTTCCCTGCTCACTCCAAAAAATGTCACTATTCTTTCCTGAATCAAGTGAAAAACTTTCTGAAATATAGGAGGAGAGTGAGGGGCTTATAGCAGAGGAAGCAGTATCTGACGCATCCCACCTGTGTCCAGGTGCACAGTTAAGTTCCTGAACATAACACGTTGTCCAAATTCGCTGCGTTTTCTGGAAAACATTGACAGAA